AGACGGAGCTGTTTCAACAGGACAACGCTCCACCGCACACAGCTCGTGTCACGGTAGACTACCTTCATAATCCCAACAACAACGTCTTGCCCTGGCCGTCAAGATCTGCAGATCTCAACCCAATCGAACACCTCTGGGATGAACTCGATCGACGTGTATATCAACGTCAGAACATGTGGCGCTACGTACTACAACTGACCAACATGTTACAAGCAGAATGGCCAGAATTCATACACTTATTCAGTCAGTGCTGAGGAAATGCAGAGCCGCGATTGCTGCCGGGGCGGTCACACGAGATACTGAGTTCAGCGCAACTTTGTGGGGTTATGTGACATGACAATGAACAGTTTTCAATGCCTTTGTACAACGACATGTGACTATCGAGCTCCAAAATTTCATATTTGTACCTATGATATTAAATCAAATATATCAACTTTATTAGGTACAATAAATTTACTAAAAATCTACCTGTGCGTTTCTTTTTTTGAAGAGTGTATAATGACCAACAAGTGTGGTATTCTCATTTCTTTTTTCGCTGAGTATACATAGAGTCCCTGTTAAAACCTATACCCACTTCCAAGCTGCCTATCATAAATGCCATCCATGTAGAGCTAATCTGTCAAATGTCCATAAACGATGACCATTGATGTTCTCTCCTGCCCACTGTCAGAAATCTATTCAAAGTAAGCAAGTACTGGTCTTCATTAATACCCTGGGTCTGCCTGTTCTTGGCCTGTCTTATTTCTGCCCGGTCTGTCTGTAACGTTGCACTTGGTTAGTTACAGCAACATGGGAGCAACCAAAAGCTCTAGCAATGTGGGCATGGGTGGCTCCCATCTGTATGAGAGGGTGCAGTAGCCAAACAGTAATCCTGAGAATATATACAACACAAAGTTTATCTTCAAACACAATTTATTAACCTAACATATAATATATAATGTATAAAACATTTGGAAGCATTGTGAAAAAAATATTCTTCTTTATATGCAAATAAGCATAACAACAAGAATACCAAGGTAAATATAGCAATATAACATTTTGACACAATTCATTTTGAATAACCAAATCATTTGATATGAGAAGAAATACTACATCCTGATTCCCATATGTGCTGCCACACTATGGTTTCAGTGACAAATGTGCCCTGGACAAACAGATAATCCAGGTGACTAGTGACTGACAACACACATGGTTATCCAACTTGTGACGGACTGCATCTAATGCCATCGACTCCCATGCCATCACTTGGGCAACCTAATCACAGAGTCAACAGTCTACTAAGGAAAATGTAGAAGGGTGAGTGAGTGTAGTTGGTTTATGTCACCACTCTGGTGCAACCCAGAAGCATGTTATGGTGCTGACAAATCTAGAAACATACTCCGTGAACTTTTTAAACCCATGATCAGGTTCCTGGCAGGACTAGGGGACATAACTCTGGTCGGTTGGTTGGTTGGTTTGTTGTTTAACGACACACTCAGCAATATTCCAGCTATATGACAGCGGTCTGTAAATAATCAAGTCTGGATCGTCCAATCCAGTGATTAATATCATGAGCATCGATCCATGCAATTGGGCTCGATGACATGCATCAACCAAGTCAGCGAGCCTGACCACCCGATCTTGTTAGTTGCCTCTTATGACAAGCAAATAACTCTGCATAGGACATTTCAGCACCTTTGACTCGTCCACAATGCCTGAAATTTAAAACTGTATGAAATAATTCTGTTTTCATGTCAGCGACCATGTATAAAAGACACTCGTGCTTCTTGAATATGATGCTCATCTCATGAAGAGGAAAAGATATTTCATGGTCTTTCAAACGCCGAGATAACTATGGTATTTGACAATTAGTAGGAATATAATTCAGGGGTTGGAAATATGTGTCAGTCTCAATCAGTAATTGTTTGAACATGTTGAAGATATGTGTGATTAAGTTTGACTGGAGACTTTTGGCAACTGGTTCCTATAGCAAGGGCACAGACATGGTGTCAGATCTGACGGGGGGATTTCAATATAAAGGTTTGTTGGTAAGAACTGTGTTAATGACCAGTTAGCCTCAACATGTACATGAAAAAATTCATCTTGCCCTGTAGTTGTGGATTGTCAAAAATCAGGATTGGCACAGATGTACTGAAAAAACATCACAGAAACTAGAACATGAACTTTTACCAAAAACAAACAGTACCAATATGGTTTCTTTGCAGTACAGATATCTTTTTTAGTCCAGAAACTGTGAAAGTACCATAAATACTGCCATTCAATGACTAGCAACTAGCCGTTCCTTGGTTCAATGAAGGGCTACAATGCGGACTGAGTGAGTTAGATGGGTTTTATTAAGTTTTTAGAAATATTCCTACAACATCAAAGCAGGGAACACCAGAAATGGGCTCAACACATTGAACCCATGTGGAAATTGAATGCAGGGCTTGGGGCTGACAAGCCAATGTTCTACCCACAAGGCTACCCCAATGCTGATTGGAGGGGAGTTTCTCCCTTACGCCTAAATACAGGAGTGTGGGACATGGCCTTTTGATGTATAGGACACAGGGGTTGCCAAGCACTGTTGTTTCCAGCTGGAAGATTTACAAACAGGGAAGGATGCTTCAAATATTAAGTTTCTAACACAGGATTAGATGAAAAAATGATGAAACTTGTGACAAAATCGCATCCATGAAAGATTCAAAGCATTTTTAGCATGTAACTCAGCGCGCACGCACTACATCAACATGTTTGCTGCACTCAGCAATATTCCAGCTGTACAACAGTGGCCTGTAAAAAATCAAGTCTGGACCATCGTGATGGGAGCCATGGTCCACTTGATCTGGGTACGATGACAGGCTATCATCCATGTCGCCATGGTCCACCTGATCGGGGTACGATGACATGCTATCATCCATGTCGCCATGGTCCACCTGATCGGGGTACGATGACAGGCTATCATCCATGTCGCCATGGTCCACCTGATCGGGGTACGGTGACAGGCTATCATCCATGTCGCCATGGTCCACCTGGTCAGGGTACGATGACATGCTTTCATCCATGTCGCCATGGTCCACCTGGTCAGGGTACGATGACATGCTTTCATCCATGTCGCCATGGTCCACCTGGTCAGGGTACGATGACATGCTTTCATCCATGTTGCCATGGTCCACCTGATCGGGGTACGATGACAGGCTATCATCCATGTCGCCAAGACTGATAACCCTCCATTAAGTTGCCTCCTACAACAGTCACGGGTTGCTGGGCTTCAGTTCTAACCCTGAATCCCAATGGAGTTCCAACATTTAAGAGGAGCAATGTCATACATCTGGTTTAATTTCACAGATCCATCACAGTTCATGTGATCCATCACAGTTCATATGATCCATCACAGTTCATATGATCCATCACAGTTCATATGATCATCACAGTTCATATGATCCACCACAGTTTATGTGATCTATCACAGTTCATGTGATCATCACAGTTCATATGATCCACCACAGTTTATGTGATCTATCACAGTTCATATGATCAATCACAGTTCATATGATCCATCACAGTTTATGTGATCTATCACAGTTCATGTGATCATCAGTTCATATGATCCACCACAGTTTATGTGATCCATCACAGTTCATATGATCCATCACAGTTCATATGATCCATCACAGTTCATGTGATCATCACAGTTCATATGATCCACCACAGTTTATGTGATCTATCATAGTTCATGTGATCCACCACAGTTTATGTGATCTATCACAGTTCATGTGATCATCACAGTTCATATGATCCACCACAGTTTATGTGATCATCACAGTTCATATGATCCACCACAGTTTATGTGATCTATCACAGTTCATGTGATCATCACAGTTCATATGATCCATCAAAGTTCATGTGATCCATCACAGTTCATATGATCCATCACAGTTCATGTGATCCATCACAGTTAATATGATCCATCACAGTTCATGTGATCCATTACAGTTCATATGATCATCACAGTTCATATGATCCACCAGTTCATGTGATCCATCACAGTTCATATGATCCATCACAGTTCATATGATCCATCAAAGTTCATGTGATCCATCGGAGTTCATATGATCTATCACAGTTCATGTGATCCATCACAGTTAATATGATCCATCACAGTTCATGTGATCCATCACAGTTCATATGATCTATCACAGTTCATATGATCCATCAAAGTTCATATGATCCACCACAGTTCATGTGATCATCACAGTTCATATGGCCCATGATAGTAAACATGGTTCATCATGGTCCATAAACTTACTGTCATGTGTTAGTGAGCATTTCAATATCCTGAGATCAGATTCCTCCAGCAATGGACTTCATTTCATGTTTGTTTGGTCACACAAACACTACAGTCCTATCATTCACTTGTCACCATACTGTCTATACATACAATTAATACAAAACATCCAACCTAAAAGATAAAAAGATTACATGTTGAATGAAATAAGGATTAAACTGTTAATTCATCATTTATAAGAAACGTTTAATTATGTTCATCGAAATGAATTAATATTGTAGTTTTCCAGACTGAAAGAAGAGAGAGGCAGAAGTCCTTCTAGAGTCGGACAACCACCTGCATCATGTACACAACAAACTATGGATGGACTGGTGAGTCCAGAGCTCCAGATAAGCTTTTGGTGTTGTGGGTATTTTACCCATGCATTTTAAAATCATTGGGTATCAGTAATTCTATCTGGGTATTCAAATTTCTGTTACCCACTAGTTTTTACACATGCGGGTATTTAAGTTAAATATTTAAAAACACTATTCATCTCGTCCCTACAAACTGTTGTCGTGTGGGTTCGAGAGCTTTATAGGACTCAAAAATACCGAGATACTTCCACAAGAAAGTGTGATGGCAAATGATCATGACGTAACTGTCATCGTGGAGTTTGGCAAGGTTGACGGAATGTCCGTATATAATTTCAAAATAAGTTGCTGATTTGCTAATCGAATACGCAGAGTTACTTCACAATATTTTGATGATACGCACTAGTTTTATTTTTGTAGCGTATCTGTAATGTTCATTGCGTATTTGATACGCTTGAATTTTATTTCACTGCGTATTTCTGCATTTCTGATGCGTATTTTACGCAGACATGCAGCTTATCTCGAGCTCTGTAAGTCTCTTCCTAGTATTCTCCAAAGTTTACATGGCCAGTTTTCTTAGCATGGCATTGAGCTTCTTCTGTTCCTGTCAACCCCACTTGGCAGATGAGGCAGCGGAGGGAGAAATTGGCCACGTCCGTGAACTGTCGACTAGCCTTGGCCTCAGCTGCTAGCTCCATAGCTTGTGCAAGCACCATCTCGTCTGAAGTTGGGAATTTTGTTTCAATTGGTCTGCTCGGGTCTGTTGGTTCGAGAATAAGAGCGTCATAATGGACCCCATCATAGATAAGCAATACACGCTCTAAATAATTCTTGTCTTCCCCAAACCTATCTATTCTCCCGGTCTGTGTGTCAACAACGTCAATCTCTACTTGATAATAACGTGACAAAATGGACAACTCTATTCCTCCGCCCCACGACTGATCGTCTAGTATCCAGCGACAATAGTTTTCATTACGTTTCCCAAGGAATCCAGCGTTGTAATACTCAGTGTCTCCGCGCACTATATCCGCTATAAGGTGACGCATCACTTTGGCACATGTTGTATCCACGACACCGTCCGTCATCACAGTATTCACACTTGTGAACAGACATGAGTTATTGGCGGGGACAACTTTACGTATAAGCATCCCCTTAATCCCAGACAGAAGCTGGGACTGGAGGGCTCGGTCAACTCTCTGTTGTTTCAGAATCTGTGAACCCTTCTCTTCCTCCACTATAAGAGTGTCTCCTGATCGGAATGGCAGAGTCTCTATTTCCGCTGAGTCATCAGTTGTGTTGATCACCTTGGGTGGGTAGCCCTGTCTGATCTTGATGCTGTCTTTGGGAATGTTGGCTAGGTCGGATATCATCTGTTTAAGCCGACCCACCGTTGTGTTGAGAGTAACCCCTGTCAGGTAGTGTTGACCAGTGGGAGTCTTGCATCTCAGCTGTATCTGCTTGTTGCCAATGTTGGCCATCTTGTCCTGAAAGACAAACCACACACTTGAATAGATGGGACTGGACAGGTCAGAATGACTGTATTTCATCTCAAACTGAGTGTTTGTTGTTTAACGCCGCTGCTATATGATGGCGGTCTGTATATAATTGAGTCTTGACCAGACAATCCAGTGATTGACATAAAGGAACATCGATCTACACAATTGGGATACAATGACATGCATCAACCAAGTCAGCAAGCCTGACCACCTGATCCCGTTAGTCGCCTCCTACGACAAGCATGGGTTGCTGACGACCAATTCTAACCAGGGTCTGTACGGGCCGACAATTGGGAGTGAACCAGGTAAAATCTTAACAGAAGCAAGAAGTATAAAACAAAAGGATTATGACTGGAGTCTTTGATGAGTTGATGGTATGCAGGGAGTAACTAATAACCTGGATCACACTTGATTGATGGTTGGGGTTGGAGTCTTTTGATGATGAAAGCCTCTTGGGAGTTTTCTGAGCATGGGTATAGTACTGACTAAGAATCATAATCAACAATCTGATCAAGGCAAATCTGTGACTCATGACCATAACATCCTGCCCTGCCTAAAGGGACACAACTCTACACTGGGACCTGTGCAAAGAAGATCTTGGCCCCGTTCCATGAAGCGATCAATAGTCGTAGTGCTAAGATCACTTTATGAATCGGTCACACCGGGAACCGCTATCATCCCGGGAACCCCTAACATCATTATTGGGAGTCTCCAGGTCTCACAAACGGAAAGAACTGAGTGTTTGTTGTTTAACGCCGCATTCAGCAATATTCCTGCTATATGATGGCGGTCTGTATATAATTGGGTCTTGACCAGACAATCCAGTGATTGACATGATTGACATCATGGACATTGATCTACACAATTGGGATACAATGACATGCATCAACCAAGTCAGCAAGCCTGACCACCTGATCCCGTTAGTCGCCTCCTACGACAAGCATGGGTTGCTGAAGACCAATTCTAACCAGGGTCTTTACGGGCCGACAATTGGGAGTGAACCAGGTAAACTCTTAACAGAAGCAAGAAGTATAAAACAAAAGGATTATGACTGGAGTCTTTGATGAGTTGATGGTATGCAGGGGGTAACTAATAACCTGGATCACACTTGATTGATGGTTGGGGTTGGAGTCTTTTGATGATGAAAGCCTCTTGGGAGTTTTCTGAGCATGGGTATAGTACTGACTAAGAATCATAATCAAAAATCTGATCAAGGCAAATCTGTGACTCATGACCATAATACCCTGGCCTGCCTAAAGGGACACAACTCTACACTAGGACCTGCGCAAAGAAGATCTGGGCCCTGTTCCATGAAGCGATCAATAGCCGTGGTGCTAAGATCACTTTATGAATTGGTCACACCAGGAACCCCTATCATCCCGGGAACCCCTAATATCATTATTGGGAGTCCCCAGGTCTCACAAACAGAAAGATCCAGGTAAACTCCTGAACAGAGAAATATTTCATCTACACGCTCTCAGTGGATACTAGACCATCTGCACCCACAGAGTTTAGTACCCAACAAAAATTGCTAACCCATACCTAAAATTCTCGTCAGATTCGTACCAGTTTGAAGCATTCATACTTTATGTGGCTGACCAGTACCCAAACTTTGAGAACTCATACCCATTTATTTCTGAAAGCAAGATGTCCGGAACAGATTTGCTTTAACCAGTATAGACCATAAAATTGACCAAAAATATATGTTTGTAATCATATATTCAGCACTAAATTCTCCTATATTCTGACGAGCACTTTCATAGCAATATATTCATAGCAATATTACATTTCCAAAATTAATTCGTTTAATATTACCAACATTCAGAAAACATTTCCAATATACATTCATTATACATTTCAACATTCATTCATAGGCTGGTGAATACAATCAACCAATTAACTCAATCAATGTGAAGTGACAATAAATGACCACTGAAGAGTCATTCCCTCTTTAATACATGTACACTAGTAACCATGTAACATTAGGAGTAAATCAATTGAGTTATCTCAATTGGACATGATGGAATATTGTTGTTTTAGTATTTAAACTACCGTACTTTGTTCTTGGAAGTCAGGGATTGTTACTCATGTGTTGTTACGTGTAACACAAAATAAACAAAGTTATACGTTGGCCTAGCTGAAAACATGTTTAAGTCAATTAATGTTTAATGTTTGAAATCATATATCTTTGCATTGGGTACAGACTCGCCTTTTGGGGTACAAATCGTCCAGTTGATTAGGTACGAATGGGTATGGGTTAGCCAACACTTGGATATGAGTCTGGCCAAAAATGTTTCGGTATGGATCTCTGTGGGAACAGATTATCCAGTTCCCCTCTCAATTCTACAATAACAATGCATTGGCGTCCTCCAGCTATCAAATAAACTGTTATAAACATGTTATATAACTACAGTAGGGTTGGCTTTGATTTATGCAGTAAACATTTAAATGACTTGCTGTTAGATATGTTGCATGTGTATTTAATCTCAAGAGGCAGCACATCCTTCCACGCAATTATGACATCATTATTGTCTGCACAGCATGACATCTTTTTACAATCATATTATTTGAAAAGAAGGAACAAGGAAGGGGAGGCAGGTATTTAGCCCATATCCTTCTTCTTGACAACTACAACTTCTTATAACTATATAATGACATGGATGTAAAAAACAATACCAATACGCAGCTCTTACATTTTGAATATAGAATGATTTGCTTAAGAATGTAAGAATGTTCCTTCCACCTACACTAAAAAAAGGAGCAGGCAAAATGTATTCGCTACCTGAGAGAAATGGTTATGTTGGAGATACTGTTTTATGATTTGGTTATTTTAAACGAAATGGGTATGATATACTTTTGGTGCTGTTATTACTGAACCTACCTATTCTACCTACCATAGCAACAAGATTCCTTATTGAAAACAATTATTTATAATTGTTGTTGACATCATGTGATGTCTTATGCCAATACATTTTTTTAGTAGAAATGTATTTAATATGCTGAATGATTCACCTGTTCAAAATTCACTACTTGCGGATTGTCTAGCACTTGATCATTTCTTTTTTGTATCCAAAAAGTTATTAAGCTTACAATGATTGATTTCAATACACAATGGTGTGATTTGACATTATTGCTGCTTACCGTTGACTGGGCATTCCCTAAATCGGAGCGTGCACAATCTGTTTCACTTTCAGACTCGCTATCTGAATATTTACTACGAGAGTAATTGTTAACATCTCGTGTCTTCTCTCGGCCTCTTTCAGATGAAACTATGTTTCCTCTAGAACAAAGGGCACTACCCATCTAATGACTCAACAAGCCCATGGAACAAGGGTTCATGCTGTTACTCGCAAAGCTGACGACTTACCGACTGCCTATCTGACCTACTTTTCGTATCCAACCAAGCTCATATATTTGTAAACACGCAACGCAGCTGTGTAGTCACACTTCTTACGGGCACTTGAGGGACAAAGTTGAACGGAAATGTGTTGACGTCATTGATTCTGGGTCCCGTACTATTTCCCTTACGACAAAAAACCATACGGCATTGAGACATGTCAGTCTGCATCTGACTGCAAACAATTTGTGGCAAATTCATTCACTGTTAGGTGAACTATTGTATTAACACCGCCACTCGTGTTATTCTAATGGTGGTGGTTGTTTTCGTGGTTTGGTAAGAATGCTATAGCAAAGTTACCTTGAACTGAAATACTGCATAACAGTATGTGTGACGGTATATATATACCTATGAGAAGTTTCTGTTCGATTGGGAACGAAAGAAGCTGATATTTTCTGAATACCATTCCCAGAAACTCACACTCTATTACATTCAAAGCATAACAATTTTGGGTAATTTTTACGACACAATTAAAAATATTCTTAAGTGAGAGAAGGACGATTTCCTTCGTTAACGACTTCAGCTCTATCTTACAGATTGATCTCTCTGAATACACAGGGGGGCGGTGGGGTAGCATAGTGGTTAAAGCGTTCGCTCGTCACGCCGAAAACCCGGGTTCGATTCTCGGCATGGGTACAATGTGTTAAGCCCATTTCTGGTGTCCCCCGCCGTGATATTGCTGGAATATTGCTAAAAGCGGCCTAAAACCATACTCACTGAATACATAGCGATACATTACGTACGTGTTCGCTGTTTCTCCCCGTGGATATGTCAGCAATGGGGTTATCTATAGACTACAGTGATATATCAACAGGAAACACACGCTTGTTTGGACACCTTAAAAATACGAGACGTGTTTAATGTTGGAATTTTGTTTACCGTGGATCCTCATTTTTTGCTTAATACAATGTATTCATAGCAAATATATCGATCACAGGCAACCTTGTTACCTTGTGGGGATTTTCGAGGTCCTTGTTACCCATATGTTTTGGTTGGAAGAAGATCGAGTGATCAGATTTAGTGACTTGGCTTCACGACGTGGATCGACGCTCAAGCTTTCAGTCACTGGCTCGTCGGGTTCAGGGTCGATTATTTACAGGCCGTCTTGAAATAGGGTTAAAATAGAGCTGAGTGCGGCGTAAATCAACATTCACTCAGATATATAATACATCGATGCATATACATAAAACGCGAGTGTGGCTTCTGTGTAAATTATTTACCTTTTTATCACATGCAGATGTTCGTATGTAGGCGTAATATTTTAATACACCTGTTATTGATATATAACAGGTGTTGATATATGTGATACATGTAATAACCATCTGCGGACGAATCATCCTCAAATCCTTGGCATGTTTTTATTAAGAATAATAATACAGTCTCAGAAAATCCAGTTGCATCCCATTGATCCAGCATTTTCAAAGGTAGGGGTCCATATTATCAAAATCCTCTCTCAGTTATTTTTACTACCTACAATATACTATTTCTGATTTTTAAATTTTAAAAAGAAGGGATTCCGGACCCTCCACCCTGACTATGGTCATCAAACATAAATAAAAGCTGTTTGGAAAGTCGCCTGGTGCATATCTACATGTAAGAAACGTTATATGGAAAATACTATCAGACTTACGTACACACACATTGATTACGTAATATGCACGTTCACTCTGATCATGTCACACAAATTGAGCGTTCCGTTGCCAAACAAAGGTAGGATTTCGGTTTATAATAAATGTAGACACTTATTTTTTTTTCAGAACATGAATCCTACCCTTGTGAATTTTCGGTGTGACAAACCACAATTATGAACTATGTTTTAGCAGTCATTCATAGATTAAGGCCTCGCGCTGGAGGGCGCATGATAAACATATCAAGGGCGACAACTCTTTCAGAAATAACTATTATGATCATTACAGTCATTACGTAAGTTTCTTTACGAACGTATGACTGCCCCATTGCTCTTGATGTATTTACTTAACGTTACAAAACTGGTATTGATATGCCTCTGAACAGAAACTCGTTGCGGAGAAAAAGTCTCTGACCTGTGGATAGATATTATTCGGTTTCGTATCATACTATCTTATCTCTCTTCCTTGAGTCAACAAGAGCCTGTTCATGAGCTGTGCAATTTTAAGACTGAGCTGTCAATAATAAACTCCTTGACGGGGTCAATTGAGTAGACCAATGAGAATGTATTGTTGGTGGTGCAAGTATAAATTTGACATATCGTTATTTTACCATGTTTACTGTTACAAAAGAATTAATAATGGTTTGACAGGTTGGTTAGAAAAATAAAACTATTGGATTGTTATTATTATTATTATTATTATTATTATTATTATTATTAGAAATGGGCACTAATCCTGTAGTCCTTACCAAACTGCCCAATGGTAAAGGTATCCTAAGGACTAGTAGAGATTGGCCAATTTTAAGGGTTTTGCTATATGTTATCATTATAAGGACCAGTGGACAAAAACTGTTAGTTTCTAACCCTTATTATTATTATTATTGTTGTTATTATTATTATTATTATTATTATTATTATTATTATTATTATTATTGTGAATGTATAGCCTTCAACAGAGTTGAGTGTCAAGGTCTGATAATGGATGAGGTTTCCTTGTTGATGTTGCAAGTTTCCTAGAACTGTTTATGTTGCAATGCATACTGTATAGTATCATTTCCTGTTGATTTCACACAAGTCATAAATATCGAAAACCGTTATCACTTTGGACTTTCATTGAAATTGCAAGTTTGATTCAAGTCTTTCAAAACACATTGTTTTTACTGCTGATTTTTGTTTCACTGTTCAATCTAACAGTTATTCTAATTACCCAGAGGTATCAACCTGCTTCATATAATTTTTAGTAACAGATAAACAGTAGCAATAAGACATCCCAGGTATCGTCAGGGATGAGTAGCTTTGCTGACACTATCTTGTAGCACTATCTTGTAACACTATCTTGTAGCACTATCTTAAGATGCCCACCCAAACACCCCTGTCCCCATTGATGGTCTCTCCCAAAGAAATTATACCGTTCAGTGACTACACGGATTACACTGAGCCATGGAGAAACCACTCATGCATTGTCAGACAAACCAGTCATTATGAGTGAAGCTCTGAGAATTAGATGACCAGGGCTGCAATCACTCACAAAGGGAACTAATCGACAATGCTTATATTCACACAGGGCACGAACGACCAGAGATAATGCCTATATTCACACTGAGCACGAACTTCATCTTGACGTAGACTAGAAATGCACACCAAATCGTAAATAGTAGATATTCGTAGATATTCCCCAGCTGTGGGTATAGGACTGGCTTAAAATATCGATAATAGGAGTTATCATCGATGGGAAGAAATATTACGATTATTGATATGAAAGTGTTGTCATCGATAATAACTTGCATAAACTATTGTGATGAAAAAAGGGTTAGGTTTACCGAAACAGACTTGTTATTGTCCATTATGTCAATTGTCAAAGACGGAAAGCAACTGTTTTTGTTATATCTCAATCATCCACAAAGTAATCTATGCATAAATGGGGGCGGTCGGGTAGCCTAGTGGTTAAAGCGTTCGCTCGTCACGCCGAAGACCCGGGTTCGATTCCCGACATGGGTACAATGTGTGAAGCCCATTTCCGGTGTCCCCCGCCGTGATATTGCTGGAATATTGCTAAAAGTGGCGTAAAACCACACTCACTCACTCACTATGCATAAATGTGTCACTGCTCGAAAGTGGCGTGAAACAAGTTGATTTCCTTCGGACTTTCTTTCATTTTGCTTGAACTTTTGAAGGTACTTCTCTGATATTTATTAATAACTGATCGATATCTAGTTAGCGATTATCAATCTCTCTAATCGATATCAATAGCCAGCCCTTTGTGGTTATACAGAAGACTTCTGTCAGGCTGGTTTACAAAGTATGTGTATGGAGCGCAACATACAACAAGACGGCACCTTTACAATTCAGTATCACAAGTTCTTGTGAGGACCGTCTCTGCTGTAGGTCACCTGTCTCTGAGAAAAGTTACCAGTTTGTGAGAATCTGTCAGACTTGAACTCGCAAACCTTCAGATGTAAGCCTTAAAAGCTCACCAACTGAGCTATGTCTGCACTGTTAAATTGAGTGTAAACGTACTTAGCCATGCATGTTTTTCTTCAGGCATCTGATGTTGAGTTACTGAGTAGATATGAATGACTGTATTCATAAGTTGTGGGGTGATTTTGCGACAGAACAGTTTGGGAGGGAACACTGAAAGGATAATGTGGATCATAGTAAGGAATGAGGAAGGTATAGACCTTGCTACAACATCACAAGGATGAGCAAATGGAAGTTACTTGGGTTCCATGACAGTTTCCTCTAGCCAAAATATTCAATACCAAACAACTACATCCTCCTCCCTTGACGTGTTTGTGTGAAGAAAAAATGCAACTGAAAATTTGAAAAGAATAGTATGTACAAGAGTATTGTGACAAGTGCATGTATTTGCAAACTTCAACACCTTGGCTCCCATGCTAAAAAATGGTCAAGAAGGGATTACAACCCCTTAAATCCCCTACACAACTCATTACCAATCTTATTCATTGCATACAATAGATAGATAGTGTTTGGAACAGTGATGTTTGGATGTGTGCAGCATCAATAAACAAATTGCATTCCTGGCCATAATAATGAAAGTGAATGAATAAAAAAGTGACGTGCTTAGTATATGAATTATGGTGAACCGTAAAAAAAGTGTGGTAAAAAATAAAAATGATTTGATAAACTGTCACTTTCTGTAAAATCCACCAGTCAGGCTAACCTTTAAGTCAACAAATTCCAAAAACTTTTGAAATTTACTTGGTTGATTCAATGACAATATGTGTAGAGATGATAGATCACAGGGGTAAGCTCATGTTGATGTCACTAAGGGCATTGCTTCACTGGTGTATCTGACAAAATTTCACAAATTATGTCACAGGGTATTGTCCATGTTTGTAAAGACAAATTATTACCCAATTATTTTTGAGTTGCTTGTGCTGAGGTATTACCAGTATACCACAATTGGAATTACTGAAGATGTATTGCAATACATTTGGAAAATACTGGTATGTTGCTTTTTTCAAAATCATCTACCGTATTCGACGTAATAAGCGCCCACGGCGTTATTTGCTAATATATTGGCTCGTGAATAATCCTAGTTAGCACCCTTTACGATTGATCAATGTACACAAGACTTATTTATTCGTGTATAATACACACTCGTTTGTTATATGCACCCTTAATTATGGGCAATTAAATTCTCGAAAATATATCTATCGTGTATAATACACACAGATTCTTCTTTTATATCATTTCAGGCTGTCAGCATAAACCACAAAATTTACAATCTTGCAACCTCATTTTAATCTCACCAAAATTATATTCTAATAAGAGCCCCCTATTCCTAATTTTGAGAGCACCCTGGGCGCTTATTAGGTCGAATACGGTATACTTACGTCTTGTTGGTCCATTTCGTGCGGTGTTAAACAACAAACAAACAAACAAACAAACTTCATGGCACATGCTCCATCCAGAGCTGCAGATAAGCAGCGTATTTGCATAAAATGTCCCCCAAAAATATTCAAAACCCAATTACTTTCAATTAACATGCGTATAGAAATGCATGCATTAAATGAAAAACTCAAATGTATGAAAACAGCTTGAGTAAATACCCAGTGAAGTTTTTTAGCATGCCTACAAAGGAGCTAATTTCCAAAACACAATTACGAGCTAATTTACTTTCCATGTCAAGTCTATATATTTACAACAGTTATATACATCTAAATCATTATTTCATTTTTTTCAAAATCTTAAAATGTTCACTTATTGTGGGAAAAACCCAATAGAGTGATGAATAGATGAGTGAAAAAATATTGGTTTCCCAATGTAAAATGTAATAGCCCAATTAAAATAGAACCCTAGAGTAAAAACTCAATTCCTCAAAAAGTTATCTGGAGCTCTGTCCATCCCAATAATTATGGAAGGCTTTTTCTTGAGATCAGTCACTCTCTTCACAAATCACTATCTCAGAGATTTCTCCACTTAACATGCTTAAGATGTTGCTGGAATTCAGAAATTCAGACCTATCACAGTTGCACAACAACTGACAGAGCCTACTAGTACTAGAAGATAGGTTGCTACACTCACCCACGATCACGTAGACTTGTTGACGTCAGGTTACTGTCCTATAACCAATGACCAAGGGCCCATGTTTCCCTGCTTAGCTTTGTAACTCAGAACATGAGTGGACCCGTGAAGATCCGGGGTAGAATAGGTCTTCAGCAATCCATGCGTGCCGTAACTTGGTTGATGCATGTCATCGTATCCCAATTGTGTAGATCGATGCTCATGATGTCATTCACTGGATTGTTTGGTCCAGACTCGATTATTTACAGACTGCCATCATATAGCTGGAGTGAAGTGTTAAACTATAAAACCAACAGAACATGAGTGACAACGATTGTGTTAAGTTTATGATATTCTCTTAACACTATAATCATTTTTTTTTTTTAAAGTAAGCTGGAAAATCTGTTTTCTATGCACACTTTATCAAATCCACATAATCAGTTTTCATTCCTTATTTCTTCAATGTCCAATAAGGAGGTGGTAACCCACTAGATATAAGAAGATCATCAGGTTATTGAACAGATCCCAATCTGAATCATGCACACAGGTGGAACTC